AAAATCAGCAAGGGGTCAAATACTTATTTCCCCCACTGTATTTCTAAAAAGAAACCAACAAAACAACAAAAAAATAGATAACAAAACAACAACAAAAAAAGCCTCTCACGCTGGAGCTTCCCTCTCGTTAAAAAAGCTCCAGTCAAATCACTAATTTTATCACAAATTTTAGTTTTGTAATGTCATTGTCTGAACGTGTTTTTCTCTGTTTTAACTGATATCGTATGATGTGATTTTGTGTTGTTTTTAGTTGCAAATTAGCAACTATGCTAGAATCTGGCTCATTTACAATCTGTATGAGATTGTTCAATAATGTGCACTGTCCTGATTACATAAATAAATAAATAAAAATAATCTTGAGCCGGAGAGAATCGTCCCATTTCCCACGCTCATTAAACGCCCCGCCGTGTAATGCTCTCTGTACATTTACAGAGAACTCTTTATCATCTCACAAGCCCTCCTAGACGCACAACTTTCCTTCTCTCAATGGTTTATTGAGAGTTTAAAGACCCAGAACAGAGAACAGAGGTGGAGTTTGGGTTTTCCAGCCTCTGGCTCTAAAGATTTTCACCCAAAAAGACGATCAGACGTTCTCTTTTTAACCCTGTAATGCCAAATGTATCATATTTGATACGTAGGTTTCTGAAATGTTTTGTTTCTGACACCTTTTGCATAATTTAATGGTAAAAACTTTGCTCAAAATCCTATTGTACACAATCAGATACACCTGATAACAGGGGGCAGAAAACCACACAAAAAATAATCTTGACTAATCGCATAGTAATAAATTATTAATATCCAAAATGTATTTCTGTTTTTTGTTTTTACATATTTTGTTAAAAGGCCTAATAACGAATTCAAACCCCCAAAATATAATTTTCTGTTTTGTTTTATTCTTGGATCAGGCTTTAAAGGGTTAATAGCGGCATCTCGGACAACATCGACTCGTGAAATAAAAAGGATAATTTGTGAGTTTTTTTGTGTATAAACTTGTGTGTTTTCATAAAGAAAGAGGCTGAAAGTCTTTGGAAAAGCAGCCAAACGGACTCCAATCCTCCAACTTTTGGATCAGCTTTAGAGCTCAACTCAAACTATGGATGAAAACAAACCAGTCATGTGACCACTAAACTCTTAACATTTCCTTGTGATGCTCATATTGTTTATTATATGTTCTTTTTTATGTATCTGCCTGCCTAGGGACTACGAATGAAAACTATAATGTAGCTATAATCCGGCATATTTACATTTGATTTTTATACTGATGTTCATTAATGTGCTTTGTCCCTATTCAGATAAATAGATAGATAGATAGATAGATAGATAGATAGATAGATAGATAGATAGATAGATAGATAGATAGATAGATAGATAGATAGATAGATAGATAGATAGATAGATAGATAGATA